CCTATTTCTGTCGGCAAATACAAATTTTTCACTCAGCAGGCGTAATCAGAGCTAACTCGAGAGGAGAAATAACAAAAACTCAACAGCCCTTAGCAACTCAGCATGGCATAGAGGGATTTAAGACTTTAGCATTTTATCTCCATCAGTATGAAAATGTATGAGGAAATCTGAACTTTGAAAGTGCAAATAAACACATTTAACACATTGCAAGCCACTGGTTTTACAGGGTCTTTCGCTGAGAACCTTCATTCCTTTCTCTATCAATTTCAACTAAGATTTTCTAGTTTTGTAAAACTTGTTTCTTAATTTTCACCATTTAACCAAGTGAGCCTATGTGGATGAGCAAAGAATAATGCAAATAGCACCTCCCAATGGGTTACTAGTGCATGGTGATATTATGAAGTTTAAAATTTCGTGCTGAATGACAGTAGACAGTGTGGTATGAGCAAACATTATTCTTACCCTGTGTGAGAGTTACAAAAAATCCCCAATACTCGCTATCCAGAGTGATACGTTTGGATCTTATGTAAACAAAAAAGCAATAATGAAAATCATTAGAAAAAGCATGGCCACTCAGAGCACTGTCTACACAATTTTCATATCACTTTTCTTTTTTAAGTTTATTTTATTTTGCCTGAAAGGCAGGATAACACACACACACACACACACACACACACAGAGAGAGAGAGAGAGAGAGAGAGAGAGAGAGATAAAGAGAGATTGAGAGACCCAGAAACAAAGATCTTCCATTCACTGGTTCACTTCCCAAACTATGGCAAGAGCCAGGGTTGGGCCAGGCCAGAGGCAAGAGCCCAGAACCCCATCTGGGTCTTCATCGAGCTGGGCACCCCAGGTGGTGGCTTAACTTGCTGTGCCACAGTGCCAGCCTTCATTTTTCTCTAGTGTGCAGTATTCCTGTGTTTGTTACTACCATTTCTTAGAAGCAGCCAAATATTGAAATGCATCTTGCCACTGTTTCACAACAAACTCCATGTCCCTTTCTCAACATGTCTGAAACACGACTTGCTTCTATGTTAACACTGTCCAAGCATCTGCGGTCCTAAAATTCTACTAGTAAGGAAACCATGTATCTTATCACCCGAGTTTAGAATGTTGAAAAATGAAAAGTCACATTATTAATGAGGCTAAGAAACAGACATGATGTGAAGTATACTGGGAATAACTGGATATATGATACCTACAGAGAACTTTTTTTAAGTTTTGTAGGTGTTGCCTTAATTTATGTTAGAATGATAATTCTTCTTTGAGACAAATTTTACTTAACGTATTTTGAATAGCTCCTCCATGGCCAACTTTGTTTCTATCCACCACTCTAAAGATATTTGTCACCATGTTTTATAGATTTCTTAGTAGCTGAACATTTAGCTTGATTTCTATCTAGCATAACCCTATTTGAGTCTCAAGGAAATATTATAAGTTGGCAAGTCCATGATGCACATTTCTCCCCTAAATATTTTTTTGTCTTTTAATAGAAGTATATTAACTCAGCTGACTCAAAGGGTACAAATTTCGCTCTGACTTCAGGAGCCTGAAAATATTGTCTTAATGAGTAAAGTATCTTGACTTCCAAATCAAGAGCAGGAAACTCATAAAATTCCACATTCCTCATCTTGCCCTATGTTCCACCCCTCACTTTGTTCTACTTTCCCCCTAAACCACTTGGAATGTTTATTATGAAAGTAAAGAAATCACTAGCTCAGAGAATCCCGTGCCTGCTTTTCTTCTGAAAGAACCAAAGATATACTGCTTTCAGAACTACAAATTGTAGGATCAAATGTTCTAGGCAAATCCATACCTGTTTTTAGGATATTCCTACCTCTTTCCCTAAGTGTTAGTTTTTCAGAATTCAGGTAGACTATTTGCAGCAAACTAAATTCTCTGTGTGTGTTTCTGTCTCTCTCAGTCTCTTTCTCTCTGCAACAATGTTTACTAACGATCAACTTGGAATGAGAGAATCTTGTAAATTGTCCAATCCTCTTAACTTTTATAATTTTATGTAACAAAATTTATATGTTTGTATGTATCTCATAAAATTTTAGTTTATTGAATGAGTCCATAAAAAAATAGAACTGAACTAAAAGATTTTATGCATATTTACATAAATTATTACATCAACACAAGTTTCTAAATATTTTCATACTTTTTTGTTTGACACTATCAAAAAAGATTGTAAGCTATTGAGTATTTTCTCTACCATTCATCAATTGGCAAATGTTTATGATACTAAGTAGACCATACTTTTTCTTCTTTCTTTAAATTTTTGTTTTACATAATTTTATATAAAATATTGTGATTTTCCTTAAGTTTGAAAAAAATCAGTAAAAATAAGATGATTAAGAAAGAAGCATGCTGTTAGTGAAATGAGCAAAATTGAATTTGTACCAAAAGAATGATTATGGTATTAAAGATTATGGAAATTATTAGATGGGTAAATTTTTGTTAATGCCATGTCCTTCCTTGTGTGTACCATTTTCCTATATTTGTGTAAGCAGAGGGTTGGCACAGGTAAAAAATTAAATGTTATATTGAGATAATTTGGTTTGATTAATGTGTCAATTATATTCCCAAGGAAGCATTTTCCCTTTCCTATTACATCCAATCTGAGACTGAACTCCATCCATTCTATTTTCTAAATAGCCATCAGTGAAGCTGCTTCCCTATGTAATCACTGTCATTGGATTAGTTTAGGCCATTTCTCCTACATGAACACCTTGCCTCCAGGTTTGTCCCTCATCAATGTATTCTCCAAGTAGTTGTGAGAATAAGTTCTCTAGAATGCAAATCTGTTTTGATCTGCTTGAAATCATTTGCTAGATCTCCATTACACACAGATAAATTCAAACTCATATCATGGATAACAACATCCTTTACATCATGGCCCCTCTTGATCTGTGGCTCACTCCATTGCTTCTGAGTTCCATTGCAGCCTCTCCTTCCATTTTCCTTAAACATTCTTTCTATTCAACCTCTTCTTCCTTCTACATCAATCCCAATCTTTGTCTTCTGTTCAGGCCAGTTTTATCACTTCCCCCAAACACCTTCCTACGTGAGTAGTATCTGGTAAGGGGTCCCTCCTCTATGCAATAGTAATCTGCTCTTGTTTTATCTTAGCTATTTATTTGCCTGAACCTCTACTATAGCCAAGCTTCATAAAGTTACATAGTTCCCACTTTGTTCACAAGAACAAGCCAGACTTAACTATATGTGCTTGGTACATATAACTGATTTGATAAAAGAACAAATAAGTATTGACATACTTGAGACAATTCGATATTAAAGAATACATCTTCCCATATTGTCAATCTTATTTCCTATATAGAAAACTGGCTTTGAATAAATAAAGTACTTAAGAGCAAATTCATTATTTGACTTCAAGTCTTCAGCAATCATTTTTTTGTTATTTTTTTTGCTTTATCACTAGATTCTCTGCCCCGCCCCAACACTTTCTCTCTCTCTCTCTCACCTTACCTATATTTCAAAGGAAACTCTATCATCAACAGGCCAGAGAAAGACAGCAGTCTATCTCCATGAAATGCTGGGTTATGATAACCACAGAAACCTTGAAGAAAAAATGTTGACAAGGATTTCCATTCTGTATTGGTAGTAAGTACTGACATTTACATTGTTGCTTACTTGTAAATAAATTTTTTAAAAGTTCAAGAAAGTTTATTATTTTTCCATTGCCAAGTGAACATAGGACTCATTCAGCTAATTTTCTGTTAAGCTATTTTTCAGATCAAGTGTTATGATTTTCTTTTCCTTTTCATACTTTGAGGTCCCAGACTCCATTTTAAAAAAAAAAAGATTTATTTTATTTATTTGAAAGACAGAGTTGCAGAGAGAGGTAGAGCCAGAGAGAGAGGTCTTCCAAATGTTGGTTCACTCCCCAAATGGCCTCAATGGTCAGAACTGAGCTGAGCTAATCCAAAGCCAGGAGCAGGAGTCTCTTCAGGGTCTCCCACATGGGTGCAGGGGCCCAAGGACTTGGGCCATCTTCTACTGCTTTCCCGGGCCATATCAGAGAGCTGGATAGGAAGTGGAGAAGCTATGTGGCCAGCACCGTGGCTCACTAGGCTAATTCTCCGCCTTGCGGCGCCGGCACACAGGGTTCTAGTCTCAGTCAGGGCGCCGGATTCTGTCCCGGTTGCCCCTCTTCCAGGCCAGCTCTCTGCTGTGGCCAGGGAGTGCAGTGGAGGATGGCCCAAGTCCTTGGACCCTGCACCCGCATGGGAGACCAGGAGAAGCACCTGGCTCCTGGCTTTGGATCAGCGCAGTGTGCCGGCCGCAGCACGCCGGCTGCAGCGGCCATTGGAGGGTGAACCAACAGCAAAAGGAAGACCTTTCTCTCTGTCTCTCTCTCTCTCATTGTCCACTCCTCCTGTCAAAAAATAAATAAATAAATAAATAAATAAAGGAAGTGGAGAAGCTGGCACTAGAACCAGGACCCATGTGGGATGCTGCCACTGAGGGCTGGGGCTTTAGCCCACTGCACCACAGCGCCAGCCCCCCACACTGAATTTATGTCTCTGAAATGATATCTAGATATTTCAATAATAATTTGATAACAGTATTTTCAGCTCTGCAGTTTGGCATAATAAAGTTCATAAGAGGGACATATTTAATATAATAAATGAAATTTATAAAATGAATATGAATAGCTAAAATGTTACCCTTTATATTCTAATTATTGTCAAATTTTTAAAATAAATTGGAGGAAGTGAAAATTAAAATGAATACATCAGCTTATCTTATTAAACATACCGTCCTAATTAGAGAAATACCTAAACTCAGGCCAATTTAATTTTTAAAATTAAAGAAACATCTAGGTATTCAGAGAATAAGCTACTTGAAATATAAATGAAGAAAATGTTGGAAAATTAATTTTATCAGGAAGATTTCAAGCACCAGACAGTTTGAAGGAGTTAAGGCAAGTCTGCTTCAAATTGCATATAATTTCCAAGTCTATTACATTTACTTACAAGCTCAGTTCTATTTCTCTTTATCTTCTTGTTTTTGACTTGATCAAGGAATTAAATGCTGCACTATAGTTAATTAATTTTCTGGCGCACAACATTTTCTTCTATGCTGGGATCACAAACGATCAGCCAGACCTTTCTCTTGAGTGAATACATGGGTCTATTCCTGAAGCACACGTTGACTTGGCCAGCTCATTCTCCTCTGCAGTTCCCTTAGCTTCCACACTGCGTGCTCTGAGCTCCAGTGCTGTCCTCACAACTTTGTCACCCACACATTTACACTCTGACCTCTGCGGACAGAACATAGAAGATGCCTTAAAGGGCCAGAGCTGCAGCCTCAAGGTGGAGCCTCCTGAGGAACTCAATGTTTGGCTTCCATCCTCCAACTCAGAGTTCATGTATTTTACTCCAGCTCCTGTTCCTTTATTCTTTATTTACATAAATATAAGCTCTTAAAGTAAGTATTGCTCTCTACATCTGTGGAGGCAAATAATCAAAAAATTGGAGGAAAGCAGTACTGGGGCCAGAGGGGAATTTTAAATATCTACTCACCACAGTTCTAGGAAATCCCCTGGAAAGGAAGGCGAAATCCACAAGTTCATGTGCTGCTAGGAAAAAAAGAACTCATTAATCTGCATTCTCTAGCCTGTATAAATAAAGTAATTTTAGGAAAAGTCAGAGTTGATTGGTTACCACACCAGGCACAAAGTTCCTCACTTCATTTCAGTTGTCAGAACTGACAAAACTGAAATCATTCTTGAAAATGCCTTGACCTTTTTATTTCTCCTTTTTTTAATGGAAAATCAGCTTTTTATTTAAAGTAAGCAAATTTCATGTAATTCATAAATACAAATTTAGGAACATACTGTTAATTCCCACCCTACTCTCCCTCCTGTCCATACTCCCTTCCTCCTCCTTTCTTTCTTATTCCCTCTCAATTTTTTTTTACAATGATCTACTTTTAGTTTACTTTATACTCATAAGATTAACCCTGCACTAAATAAAGAGTTCAACAAGCATCAAGAAAGAAAAACACACTGTTCCTCAACAGAAGAGATGAGACCTGTAAACAATCATTGGATCTCAAAATGTGGATTTCACTCCTGTACATTAAATCTTTAGTACTCTGTTTAGTTACCACAGATCTGGAAAAACACAGATACCAGTGTTTAAGTAGTGTTGTTAGACCCATTGTTTAAAAATGCCATGAATAAACCAGAAGTTCAAGAAGCTTGCAAAAGTCAGGCTAATTGTTATTAAATTATATTTTTAAATATAACTAAAACTCTGCAGTAAATAATATGAACATCATAATAAACATGACTCCTAGGATTGAGGAAATCATTTATTGCAAAGAAAACTTGATATTTGCCTGGAGAAGGGGGAGCGGGAGGTACCAGAGAAAATCAGTTTTATTTTTTTCGTTAATCTGTTCTTATTATTTTTTCCTGTTTGGAAAATGCATTTTGTTCTTTTGTCAACAAAGCTTATCTACCTTGTTGTAAGATACTACAGAAAAAGTAAACTATATATGGAAGAACAGCTTAACATTTTTTCTACCAATTTTCTCTAAATATTTATATTTAACTATTCTACTGGTTTTTAGGGTATATTTAAAATTTTCTAAATTTTAGGCCAGTTGTTAAAAACAGTTATATCGCAGTTGCAAGAGCTGGAAGAGTAAAATAGGTAAAATGGGGTTTATAATCATTGAATGAAAAAGAAGAGAAACTGAAATAAGTAATTTCTCTTCAATAGAAAAGGATCCCAGTGTTTTTAAATTAAGAAGTAAAAAGCCAAGGTCTAAGTACCATGTAAACTCATTTTAAATGTCATGTCTGCTTAGGAGCTAATCATCAGGATGTCTATTTCCTCTTCTTGCTTGAGCCATCAAATTTGTCAAAATTTTATGATAATTCATTCTATCATTCCTTAGACATTTAAATGACAGAGTCCTAGAAAAGGAAAAAAGCATCTGTAATCCTACTCCTCATGTGAAAACTGCCTCCAGAGAGGCCTGAAAAACGTTCCCCATCCTGGCAGGAGCAGCAGCTGAACTTCTCGGTTCCACTATGATTTCTTGCCTTTTTGGAAAATGACAATAAATTGGCTGCCTACCGTTGTTGACCTTTGACCTGTGAGCCCTGGCTGACCACGTCTTAGCTTGCCTGTTTAAGTCAGCAGCTCCAGCATCATTCTGATCCTCTCCCAGAGGGTGTGAAGCTCTCGCTCTCCTGAACGGGTAAGCTCCCCCTCTAGTGTTCACTGCTCATCAAATTATTCCTCCAACAAATAAGAAAGAAAGCTCCCTGATTTTTGTCCCCCACAGAAGGACAAAACTTGGAGCATAATGTGTAGGTGCTGAGTGGCACGAAGAGCAAAAGGTAAGTATAAATGCTGCATTTTAAGGAAGTCCTTTCCTTTTCATCCCCTTGGAGGGAACCCGCTGTTTCCTACGGCTAAGAACCAGGCTGCTCATGCTGCCTCTCAGGCAGACTGCATGGCTGAACAGAGAGTGAGTTTGGAGGTTATGAGCTGACTGGGTGAACCCCAGTCCTTTCTGTAGGGAGGTTTCACCTGGTTAAGAATAAATGACTGCTAGTCACCAAAGCTGACACCTGGTGGCTCTTGGTGGCTCTTTCTTTGCATTCCATTAACTAACAGAGGAACAGGACAGGGAGAGGTACTAAACACCAGACTTTTACTTTCTTCCAGAATTCTGAGAAAGAGCAGTAAAAGAATTAAATCCTTTCCAATTTCTGTTACAAGAATCTTGGTAAATAAGGTCCCAAACTGTCAAAGCCTTAACCTTCCTTTATCTGACACAGAACTATAGAAAATAGTGCAGTAGATATTGGTGAGAGTTGCAAAGGCTGTTGCATACAAAGGATAATAGTTCAGCAATTTCATAAAATCTAATGTTGAAGCCTCACTGAGACACTAATCCAGATTTTATTATGCAGTTGAAAGTGGAAGAGAGAGAGAGAGAGAGAGAGGGAGAGAAAAAGGAAGAAAGGGAGGGCGGCAACTAGGGAAGAAGGAAGGAAGGATGGAAGGAAGGAAGGAAGGAAGGAAGGAAGGAAGGAAGGAAGGAAGGAAGGAAGGAAGGAAGGTGAGAGAAAGAAACCAGACAAAAGCCTGAAATAGTTCTGGAAAGTTAAACTACATGGTTGATGTGGCCGGCGCCGTGGCGTAGTAGGTAAAGCTGCCGCCTGCAGTGGCCACATCCCATATGGGCACCAGTTCAAGTCCCAGCTACTCCAATTCGGATCCAGCTCTCTGCCATGTCCTGGGAAAGCAGTAGAAGATGGCCCAAGTCCTTGGGCCCCTACACCCATGTGGGAGACCCGGAAGAAGCTCCTGGCTCCTAGCTTCGGATTGGCGCAGCTCCAGCTGTTGCGGTCATCTGGGGAGTGAACCAGCAGATGGAAGACCTCTCTCTCTCTCTCTCTCTCTTTCTCCCTCTCTCTCTCTCTTCCATCCTCTGGTTCATCCTCCCAGGTGGGTGTCATGTCTGAGGCTGATCCAGGCCTACATCAAGAGCCAGGAGCTACATCTGGGTCCCCCAAATGGATGCTATGCACCCAACTACTTGGGCCATCATCCACTGCCTTCCCAGATGCATCAGCAGGGAGTTGGATTAGAAGCAGAATAGCTCAGATCTCCAACTGGCGCTCTGATGTGGGATGCTGTCATTGAAAAAGCAGATGACCTGCTGTGCAATAATGCTGGCTCCCAGAGAATCTTAGTAAGCAGTAGTTTCAAAGTTTCTTGCAATGAATTAATTGTATGTGTCTTGAAACAGGTCATATGACTCAGTTAAAGTTCAGGTCAGAAATAACATGGCCAGTAAGTGAGGGGATTTCAAGATGGCAAAATAGGGAATGACATACTGTGCTAGACTAGGGATAAATAGTTAAAAAAAAAAAGTGTACACTCTCAAGAAAAATTAGAGAGAAAATTGCACTGAAAATTCTAAGAAAAGGAAGAGGAACATCGTGGAGCTGTGCAGAAGTGCAGCACAAACACAAAAACAACAGGTGACTGTAGCAGCCGAGAGCCAGAGCGGGAGGCAGCCTGGAGACAGAGGTGACGCCAGACTGCAGCAACCCGTGTGGATAGAGCAGATCTGCCTTTCTGTGGACCAGGCAGGCTGGCAAGGCAGAACCGAACCTCTGCACCCAGCAACTGTGCGAGCCTTGTGTGCTGACACTGTGGAGATGCAGTGGATGCACGAAAGGATGCAGCGTGCAGCTGGGTCTCTGGGCAATCACTGGGTGTGGTTCCACACCCTTGGAGCTCCTTGGTTGCCTGGGGTGGATCACTGCAGTGTGAATTGAGCTCACAGTGAGGACAGAACAGATCACTTGTGTGATTCATATGGCAGTGCAGGTGAGTGTTGAACCTGCTGGGGGCCAACACCCAGGCATTGCTCAGCTTGGAGGAGAGAAGGTGAAGGGGTGATCACACCAACAGGTCATTCTCCCCAGTCTATTAACAAGAGGAGATCTACCACGCCCAACATAGGTGTTACCCTGGATACTCGCCCCACCCTGGAGCACTAACCATAGCTCTCTGGCCACACCCAGCACTTACCTCTTGGTATTCACTGAAAGTGCAGATATTCCACTAAGTCACAGAGGCATAGCTCAAGACAAAAGCCATCAGAAGAAAAAACCAACAGGTAACTCCACAAATGCTTAAAATAAATACAGAAATTCAAAAAACAAGAATAAGGTAGACATCATGATTCCCCACCATCACCACAGGAATGCATTTCAATAATAGAATGTAAGGATGAAGAGACTGATGAAATGCCAGAAATAGAATTCAAAAGATTAATCACAAGATTACTAAAAAGCGATCAGAAGCAAATCCATGAACTAAAGAAAACCTTACATGACATGAATGAAAATTTTTCCCATGAAGTTGAAGTTTTAAAGAGAAATCAAAATGAAATATTAGAAATGAAGAATTCAATAGAAAAAATAAATGTGGTGGAAAGACTTGGTGAGGCAGAAAAAAAGAATATGCAGGCTAGAAGACAAATCTTTGGAAATCTTTCAGTCAGACCCCCCCCCCCAACAAAAAAGAAAGAAAGTAGAAAACCTAAAAACAGTATTGGAGATTTATGGGATATTATCAAATGACCCAACGTTCAAGTCTTATGAGTTCCTGAAGGTGTGGAAATACAGAATGGACTAGAACACCTATTTAGTAAGATAATTAAAGAAAACTTCCCCAATTTGGAGAAAGAAAGGGATGTCAAGGACAGGAAGCGCGTAGAATGCCTACTAAAATAATATGGCCGTGTTAAGTTAGCACTGACTTTAAACTCTTCAATTAGTGGTGATAAAATAAGCCCTCAAGTAATGTTTTTCTTAACATTAATAATTCTAAAACCACAGCTGATTATTTTTATTCTCAAAGTCCAAGTTAGCATTTATTTCTTAAATACAATACTAAGATTAGTCCAGCATTATGGTGTAGTGGATAGATAGGCTGCTCCTTGTGACGCTGGCATCTCATAAGGGTAACGGTTTGATTCC